ATCAGATGCCGCCATAGTCAGTCTGAGTCTACAGCTGTCCTTTTAAAATGCAATAAATAAAATAAGTTTTATGCCAAAAACTATTCAAGTAAATTACGAGGTGTTCCCTTAAGTTAAGTGAAGACTAAAAGGCCAGAAAAAAAACGATTATAGGCAGACAAAAGCCTCTTATCTACTCACGTTTTCTACACACCTTGAAAACAAGCCTTTTGAGGTCGGCGCCGAGCCTAGACGACTTCGCGCCAAATGTACGACCTCAAACGGAAGTAAAACTTCACTTCCAGGCGCCGTCGCCGTCCTGAAAAGTCTCTTTGCTAAAGGTCCCTATTGTGTTAGCAGCACGGGGCTTCCGACGTCCTCTCTTCACGGTGACATAAAGGTCCATCCAAGGCGAGTTTTCTCAGCTACAGGTTGTCCTGGTTTTCCTACTCTTTGCGCAATGCTTGTTTTAATTGTGGCATACACGCTTGCTCCTGAGACCACATGTATGGGAATTTGAGGTCTTGTATCGTTGTCTTCAATCTTCACTCCTTTGAGATGGTTGTATTTGCTTAGCAGAGTTGCATAATTAGGGTTGTCTAGTGTCAACAATTGTGGCTTATGAACTTTCGTCAGTTTAATGTTCATGTCGAAACTTCCATTTACTGCTCCAAGAGTAGCTGAATAAATCTCTACATTGGTGGTGGATGATCCAAGCATCATGTCAATTCGTTTAGTCGATGTTTCCTTTGTTGAGAAGATTGATAAGCTTGTTCGAGGCGTACGAGCTTCCGGCACCGGTGTCGAGTAAAGCATGCGTTTTTATTCCGTCGATTTCTACAAGAATGATGGGATAAACGACTTCTTTGTTTTCTGGTTGATGAGCTGTCAAAACGCCCTCGGTTTTCACTTCCTTTGGTGGGCTACAGATCGAGGTATGGTGGCGCTTACCACAATGTTGACTGGTCGCGGTGCTTTTGCATTCCGATGATTTGTGCGGACCAGTGCAATTGAAACAGAGCCTTTTTGTACCCAGAAATTCTCTGCGTTCTGTCGGTGAGGCAATTTTTGCACATTCTGACGGCTTGTGATCTTCCGCTTGGCAATAAACACATTTTCGGGTCCTTCTCTGGTTTGTTTGGAACACGCGGTGTCGTTTCCGGAATGACTGTGAGTCTTCTAATTTAAAGTTGTCAGTCGGATTTCGGCGCGTCCATTGTCGAAGGGCTTCGGTGAATTTGACAAAATCCCAAGTTTCCCATTCTGGATCGTTTCGGACAAAGTCTTTTCTGATGATGGGCAATTTATCGAGCGTTAACGAAACCATCCCGTTTACTTCATGGAGCGAGTTTAGTGTTTCCAGGGACTG